AAGAAAGCCTTACAATGTAGCTTCAGGCCTGGGCAAAACACCCTCCGTGGGCCGGATGCAGCCCATTGACTCCCGGCCTGCCCCTTGCAGGCTGCTGAGAAATACAGCCATTGCAGGGTTTGCAAGCAGCTCCTGTCCCCAGCACAATCTGGCCGGTTTCTGACCAATGGGAGTTTCCTGTGGTCAATAGGCATCTTGGGAAGCACCCTCTTCTCCTCCTCTCAGGCTCCTAGCTGTTCACAAGCCACATGACATGCAGCCAGTGCTTGGGAAGGCTGCTGGCTGCCTCTGGCACCCCAACTTTTTGTACCCTACCCCAGAGGACCCAAACCCCTCCTGCCCCATGTCCCTTCCCAGATCCTGCACCCCAATCCTCTGCTCCAGGTCACAGCTTAAACTCCTCCACCATCACCTTAGTCCCCTTCCCCAGGTTACAATCCCCTCTTGACCAAGGTCACAACCCAAAATCCTGCTCCCTAGTCCCCTAACCCAGGTCACAACTGCCTCCTTCACCCAACCTCTATTCCAGACCCTGTCCCTCCTCCATTAATATGGAAAAGTGCAGCCGTAGACCACTGTCCAAATTCTTGAAGTGACCTCCCATCAAAAATTATTACTCACCCCTGATCTAGACAGATAAAAGGCAGGAGAAAGAAGAAATATACAAGCAGAAAATAACCAAAGCACAGAGAGAATAAGCAACTTGTTCAAGCTTAGAGGGGATGTCTCGGTCTCAGAGCCAGGAATTTAAACCTACCTAGTCACCTGAGTTCCAATCCAGTGCCTTAAGCACTCCACATTAATATTTTTAATATTTTTATTTTTAATTCTACCACTAAACCACAGAAGAAGGAAAAAACACTTTAAAAATCAATTTATGATCATGTAATAGACTGGTAAAAACAGCCTTAGCCATAGAGAAATTCTCAAGAACATAAAGTTACTTTGCTAGTCAGATGTTCTATATAATTAACAAAAAGCAAATCAAATAACTTTTTTGTTATTTAAAAGGAACCCCAATGAACAGATGTGGGTTAGCAGGACTGACATTGTACCTATTAAAAGATAGCAGAATCTGCGTTCATTCCTTGAATCTGTTACTCATTTAAAAATGTGTACTTTTTATATCGATAGACATTTGGTCACACTAAATGTTTCAACAGCCTTATTCTTGCATTACGAATTCAATTATGTGGTTTCACTTCAGTTTCCTTCTCCAATCCCCATCTGAGCATTCACAATACCAAGCAAGCTCGCCACACTTTGCTACATCTCAGCAAGAAACTGTTTCTGCAGCATTGCCTGAAATCAAGTATAATTCCCACTTACAAGCAAATTTACTGACTCGAATAACAGATAGAAACAGGACTGCTCTCCGGACCCACATGAAAATTCTTAGCCAGAACACACAAATTAGCTAAAGTGGATCAGTCAGCTTCCATCAAGAGTGAAATCTTAACACATTTGAAAGTGTCTTATTTTGCAAACACCCTCTCACCTCTGATATTTTGGATTATCCCTTAAGTCATACCTAGATGACGGATTGATGGATAGGTGAGAAGGCATATAATCCTCCCCTCCCCCCCACACACACCCCTGTACTAACACTACCCTAGCAGAGTCTCCATCTCTCTGAATACTAAGCAGCTAGGAGTTCTTCCTTCACATCTCTCAGCTTTCTATTAGCTTCATATCACACACCTCCACAAGGAGTAGGAGAGCAGGGGCAGAAACAATTTTTATATGCCAGTCACAATACAATATACTCTCCTTTGCCAGTGCAATACAAGAATAAAAAGTCAATCCAGTATTCCATTATGTAGCCACTTCCACAGATGTTAAGCTCACGTTGCCCAGTAATATCCTGTTGGAATCTTGCTATAACCCTCTTCAGAATGTTCCATTCTAAACTAGCAAATCAGTTCTAGTATCCCAAACGTCTTTACTTCTGGACAAAAGTCACTTACAATAAAATCCACCTGTCCTTTGGTAGGCACCAAAAAGCGTAACAATCTACATGTTTTGTTAGTCTATAAAGTGCTACCAGACCATTTGTTGTTTTTTAAGTTTATCCTGAGTAGTGTCAGTTTTTGGTACTAGAAGATAGAAACAAATATAGAAACTCATTCTGGAAGCAGAACAGTTCTTCCAACACAAGAAATTATAGGAACACAGCAAAAGACTCAGTAAATACAAAAGCAGCAGCTGTTGGTATTTTTATCATCCACAGTTCTGCTCAGGACCATTGTATTATATGATGCTTTACAATACTCTGCAAGAGAATGGAGACCATGTTCATGCATGCGTAACATAAAAATAGTTATCCATTACCAACAAAGATAAATGTTTTTAAACACAGGAATCTTGATTACTGTAAGAATAGAATTTAGTGTATTCACAACACATGTAACTAGATGTAATATCACCTAGAATTTTTTCCCTTATAAATTGCTAATGAAGGGTTAAACTCTACCACCTCTTACTCCACAAGTGAACCACCTTGAAATCAACAGGGTTACTCCCAGAGTAAGGTATTAGTGTGAGTAAAAGTGACAGAATCTGACTTACAGCATAGACTTCTCTAATTTATACAAACAGTATTCTTCTCAAAGTCCAGAGGTGCTTATGCTGTTTGACTACTTTCACCGCAAAGTAAGTAATCAAGCCCATCTTTCATTGCCTGCTGCCCTGACTACTTTCACTGCAAAGTAAGTAATCAAGCCCATCTTTCATTGCCTGCTGCCCCAACTTGAAACCAACTACTACACTTTAGGGAGTTTTACTGTGCATCCTGCCACTAGTTAGCAGATAACAGGGACAGCACACATGGACAGAGCTGCCCTTACCAGGGCTTAGAATATGCAACTGCATAGGGCACCAGAAAATTTGAGGCACCACTGGGTCTTAATGTCCACCCATCCACCTCTTCCTATCTCGTTCTCTGGCTCTGCTTCCTCTGGAGAGGAGCCAGTTAACTTAAAAGTGAAAAAGCCTGCCAGAGCTATTAGCAGATACTGTAACTATAAAAGAGCCAGTCAAGTGGTAATGAAATCATTTAACAGGCATTTGCCAACCCCAGGTATATACACTGACAATTTCGGAATTTACTGAGTGAGTCTACAAAACTCAAGTTTAAAATTTGCTTTAAAATATTTCATTAGTGTGGCTAAAGATGATAAAATCCCATCTCTTAAAAAAAAATCATCCCTCTCCCAGCTGCCATGAGACACAGGGGTACTGTTTAATAGTACTGGGTACGGCCCCCTAAATCCTAGACTGGCCCTGCACATGGTACCTGTCCTGACTCCCTTTGGTAGGATGCTGGGCCCGATCCTGCCTAGAACTAGTACCAATGGACTCCCGCTCCCCCGCACAGGCAGACCCAAGGGGGGGGGGGTCACCCTATAGGCTCCTCTGGGGGCAGGTTTGTGTCACTCCACCCTATCTCCCTGGCGCAGAGGCAGCTGGGGTTCGTGTGGGGGCCCCCCCCAAAATTCCCTTTCCCTCCCCTAGCAGCCCCTCCGGGCCCCCCCTGCC